CTCAGGCTACAGGGAGACCCTATCTCAAACAACAACAAAATACTCATTTAAAATGAAACTCTCAGAAAACCATGTAAGAGGAGAACTTTTGAATTTGGTGAGAAGCATTTATAAAGATTCTACAGTTAACACTGAGCATAAAATAAGTTAGTGAACTGTGAGCATGCCCACTCGCTACTTTAATATTGTAGTATTGTCCTAGGACAGTTTAGTCAGTAAGGTGCATGGGAACCTGAGTTCAATCCCCCAAATCCACGTAAAAACAGCTAGGCACAGTGGTTCATGCTTGCGGTCACAGTGCTGGGGAGGGGAGATAGGCAGATTCTTAGGCTTGCTGGCTAGCGAGCCTAGTCTACTTGGTGAGTCTCAGGGCAGTGAGAGACTGTCCCCTCAAAAAAACAAGTGGGGGCCGGGGTGGCGGCATACGCTTTAATCCTAGCACTGGGGAGCCAGAGGCAGGAAGATCTCTGTGGGATTGAGGCCAGCCTGATCTACATAGTGAGTTCCAGGCCAGCTGGGGCTACAGTGAGACCCTGTCTCAAAAGACAAAACAAAAAAACAAGTGGAAGTCACCTGAAGAACAGTATTTGAAGCTGTCCTTTGGCCTACACACACACACACACACACATGCACACAAAGACCATGAAAATATGCCTAACATAAAAATGCACAGAGGATGGCCAGGCGTGGTGGTGCACGCCTTTAATCCCAGCACTCGGGAGGCAGAGGCAGGCGGATCTCTGTGAGTTCAAGGCCAGCCTGGTCTACATACTGAGTTCCAGGACAGCTGGGGCTACAGGGAAACCCTGCTTCAAAAAGACAAAAAAAAAAAGACCAAAAAAGCACAAAGAGGGGCTGGAGAGTTGGCTCAGTGGTTAAGAACACTGACTGTTCTGACAGAATCCCAGCACCCACATGGCAGCTAACAACTGTCTGTAACTCCAGTTCCAGGGGATCCAACAGCTTCTTCTGTCCTCCTTGGGCATTGTATGACACAGGTGCACTTACTTACATGCAAGCATAACACTCATAAAATAAAAAAATAAAATATTTTTAAAAATGCAAAAAGAAATGAAAGTACACATTTGCAAATATAGACATAAAATATTTTTATATCAAGAGTGCATTTTGTGTGTGTGTGTGTACGTGTCTGTGTGGGTGTGAGTGCACATGCACATGAGTGCCCATATATGTGCCGATGTGTGTGTTGGGGATAGACGTTGATAGTTGGTGTCTTCAATTGCTTTCCACCTTATTTTGTGAGACAGAGTCTGTCACTGAAACTGGAGCTTGCTGATCAGGCTCAACTGGTTGGTCAGCAAGCCCCAGGGATTCCTGTCTCTGCCTCCCCTGTGCTGGGATTCCAGGCCCATGCTGCTGCATTGAGCTGTTAATGTGGGTGCTGGGGACTGAACTCAGGCCAGACTGACCATCTCCCCAGCCCCAAGAGTGCACATTAAAAGTAGATTTGTTTTTTATTTATGCGTATGTATGTGTATGTGCATATGCATGCACAGAGGCCAAAAGGTGTTGGATCCCCTAGAGCCGGAGTCACAGGTGGTTGTGCCATCTGATGGAGGTGTTGGGAACTGAACTCTGCAAGAGCCGTGAATGTTCATAATCACTGAGCTATTATCTCTCCAGCCCCAGGAGTGCACATTATCTATGTAGAAAATCTAAAAAATGTGCATTAGTGAGAAGGGTATGTTCTGAGAAACCCACAGGATACCTGAAACAGCAGACAATACTTAGCTCCATATAGAATATGTTATTTCTTTTCTTTTGCCTTTTTGAGACAGGGTCAGGTGGATCTCTGTGAGATCAAGGCCAGCCTGATCTCCATAGTGAGTTCCAGGCCAGCTAGGGCTACAGGGAGACCCTGTCTCCAAAACAAAAAACAAAAATCAGGGCTGGAGAGATAGCTCAGCAGTTAATAGCACAGGCTGCTCTTGCAGAGGACCAGAGTTTGATTCCCAGCACCCACATGGTGGCTAAAAACCATCCAGAGCTCCAGTTTCAGGGAATCTGACACCCTCTTCTGACCTCTGTGAACATCACACAACAGGGGTACAGTTACATAGATGCAGGCAACACACTCATACACTCAAAAAAAAGAAAAAAAAAGAAAAAAAAAAACCCCAAAATGTCAAGACATACCACCAGAATCACCAAATACAAAACAGTAGTAACATCAAAACACAGAAAAGAATGTGGGACAATCAAATTTCTCAGGTCTAACTCATAATTCCTGAAAAGGTGAAACACATCCTTGCTTTGGCTTAGCACCTATTTACTGAGGAGAAATAAATGTCTGTTTACAAACATTTTATAAGGTTTAGCCTCAGCCTTGTTTGTAATAGCTCCAAATGGCTCCAAACTAGAAACAGCCCAGGACATTTGACTAGAAACAGCCCAGGTATATTTGAATAATAGTCATTCTATGATGAAAATAACTGACTTAGACATCCAAAAACGTGTATCAATCTCTCAGACATGAAGCCAAGTGAAAGAAAACACACAAAACTAATCTAAGAAAATTCACAACCTACGGACTGGAGAAATGGCTCAGTAGTTAAGAGCACTGGCTGCTCTTGCAGAGGACTCACCCAGGGTTGGTTCCCAGCACCCACATGGCAGCCGACAACTGTCTTTTAACTCCAGTTCCAGGGGATCTGATGCCCTTTTTTGGCCTCCATGAACATTGTATGACATGGGTACACTTACATATATCCAGGCAAAACACTCATACACATAAAATAAAAATAATAAAAGACTTTTTTTTTTTGGTCTTTTTAAGACAGGGTCTCCCTGTAGCCCAAGCTGTCCTAGAACTCACTATGTAGACCAGGCTGGCCTTGAACTCACAGAGATCCGCCTGCCTCTGCTTCCGAGTGCTGGGATTAAAGGCGTGCACCACCACGCCCGGCAATAAAAGACATTTTAAAAATTCATAACTTAGTGGGAGGGAATGGCCTGGAAGAAGCTCGATGAGAATTATGGGGCTAACGGAAGCATTTCTTATCTTGATTGGGGATTTGGATACATGAGTTAATACTTTTGTCAGACTTTTAAAGAACTCTAGACTTGAGATCTCTATGTAGATACTGCTTACAAAGCCTACAATGGAGTCTTGGTACAAACACTAGGCAAAGAAGGAAAAGATTTGCAAGGAAAGTGATGTTCAAAACTAAAATTTACATTCTAAAGGCATGAAAGTCAGCAATATATAGGCTTTTCACAGATTTCACACTTAAAAATTCATACATATGCCAGGCATGGTGGCACAAGCCTTTAGTCCCAGGACTCAGGAGGCAGAGACGGGTAGATCTTTGTGAGATCGAGGCCAGGCTGGTCTCCATAGGGAGTTTCAAGTTAGCTCAGGGTATCGTAGGGGAGACCCTGTCTCAAAAAGACCAAAAAAATTCATATATGCCATCAAAAAAATCTGGAAAATAAGCTGGGTATGGTACACACCTTTAATTCCAGCACTCAAAGGCAGAGGCAGGCAGATCGCTATGAATTTGAGGCCAATTTGATCAGCAAAGCAAGTTCCAGGCCAACCATACCTACATAGTGAAACTTGGTCTCAAAAAACAAAACCAAGCAAAACAAAACCCAAAACAAGTGCTGGTAAAAATGTGCAGAATTGAGCCAGGTGTGGTGGTGCATGCTTTTAATCCCAGCACTCGGGAGGCAGAGGCAGGCGGATCTCTGAGAGTTCAAGGCCAGCCTGATCTACATAGTGAGTTCCAGGACAGCTGGGGCTACAGGGAGACCCTGTCTCAAAAAAAAAAAAAAAAAAAAAAAAAAAGACAAAACAATGTGCAGAACTGGAACTGCTGTGCACTGCGGGAGGAATGGGAACATGTTGCTGTTCTATGGATAACGGTTTGGTTGAGTCTTCAAAACTGAAACGTGGATTTGCCATACAAGCCAGCTCTTCTATTTCTAGGTATACACCCAAAGACACTGAGAGCAAGGATCTGAGCTGATGTTTGTTTACCTGTGTACACAGAAGCCAAAAGATGCCAGTAATGGACAAAGGAGCAAGCAAAATGGACAATGCAGTATTTATCAGCCTTAAAAATGAAGGAATTCTAACATTCTACAACACAGATGAACACTGTGGACATTAAGTGAAGACAGTCATAGAAAGGACATATACTGTATGATGCTATTCATGAGAAGTCATAACATAATCAAATTCCCAGAGGCAGAAAAGAGAATGATGCTTGCTGGGAAACAGAGATAATGGAAAGCTACTGTTCGAAGGGTGCAGGGTTTCAGTTTTGCAAGATAATGTCTTCTGGAGATAGATGGTGGTGATGGTTGCACAAAAATGTGGATGTACTCTATACCACTGAAATATATGCTTAAAAATGCTTAAGATGGGGGCTGGATAGATGGCTTAGTGGTTAAGAACACTTGCTGCTCTTGTAGAGGACCCAGGTTCAGTTCCCAGCACCCACATTGAGTGGCCCACACCTCCTGTAACTTCAGTTCCGAGAGATCCAACATCCTCTTTTGGCCTGTGCAGACACTGTCATGCACATGGTACACATACACACATGAAAGCACTTTCACATACACATAAAATAAACATAATAAAAATTTTAAAATGATTAAGATGGTAAGTTGCATTTTACTACAATTAAAAAAATAAGCCGGGCGTGGTGGCACACGCCATTAATCCCAGCACTAGGGAGGCAGAGGCAGGCGGATCTCTGTGAGTTCAAAAAAAAGACCAAAAAAGAAAAAAAGAGATCCCTACAAACATTCAAATCTGTCAAATCCCTGAGATTTAATGCCTCGTGGATTTTTTTTTTCCTCTGGAGCATGAACAGCTGTGTTTATTTCCCCCAATTTTACTTTTTTTTTCTTATAGCATTGGTGATCAAACCCAGGGCCTTGCATGTGCTAGGAGCCCTGGCAAGAGCTCTACCACTGAGTTATGTCTCCATGCCCTTTCACTGACTGAATTTTTATTTGTACAGACTCACCTAGATAGTTCTGACTTGGAAAAATTCTCTCTGTCCATAGCTCTTCTCCTTGTTCCAACTTGCGGATCATATCAGGCTTTGTTATATGAAACCCTGATAATGAAAAAAGGAGAGAGAGACAGAGAGAGAGAGACAGAGAGAGAGAGAGATAGAGGGAGGGAGGGAGGGGAGAGAGAACAAGATTTCTCTAAGCTGTTTGGACTTCAAACTGTTAAGAAACATACAGCTTCACCCAGCAGAACAAATTAATGTTTTATCATAGTTAATACTTTATACTAGGCAGGTGAGAATATATCATATAATTGAATATACAGTAATATTCTGCTAGTAAAGAGATTCACAGTGGGTTGAGGAGATGGCTCAGTATGTAATGTGCTTGCTGTGCAAACATGAGGATCTGAGTTTGGAATTCTGGGAAGCATGCGTGACACTTACCCACAGAGATAAAGTGGCAATAGTTTTCCAACATCACATCCCTGTAGAGGGCCTTCTGAGCAGGATCCAGTTGCTGCCACTCCTCCTGGGTGAAGTCTACAGTCACATCCTTGAATGACACTGATCCCTGTAAGGGCACAGTCTAGTAGTTCATCCTGAAGTTATCAGAAATGGGTGAGAACTAAATATTGAAGACCTCATTCTGCCAATGTTCAGTGGTCAAACTAGTTTTCTTAACAGTGCTTTATAAAAGAAAATTCTTTCTGAAAATACAAAATACATGCAGCAGTACTTGTTATCTCATGTTTAAAAAATACTTAGAGGGGCTGGAGAGATGGCTCAGCAGTTAAGAGCACTGGCTGCAGAGAACCTGGGTTCGATTCCCAGCACCCACATGATGGCCAGCAACTTCTGTAACTCCAGTTCCAGGGGATCCAATGCCCTTTTCTGACCTCTGAGGGCACTGTACAACATGGGTGCACTTACATAACATGCAGGCAAAATAACCATACACATAAAAAAACAGAAATAACAAATTTAAAGGCTGAGGAATTTTGTGAAAGAACAGCCATCTATAACTCCAGTTCTAGGGGATCTAATGCCCTCTTCTGGCTTCTGCAGGCATTGCAGTTACACACGGGTACACTTACATACATGCAGGCAAAACACTCATAGACATAAAAATAAATAAATAAAAACTTTAAAGAAGACTGGAGAAGGCTTAAAGTATGTTATGTTGGAAAGAAGATTAAGTAACCACTGTTAGAGAGTATGCTGCAGAGATCAAGGCTGGCATTAGTAGGCTGACATGGTTCCGACATGGTACAGTGTTAAGAAAACTGGTCATGAATTGCCTGTAGAATGAAAAAGACAGACACAGCTCTTGGGTTATCTGCACAGACAAGTATGTGAGTACTGGGAGTAAAAAATGAAAGAGGAGCAGGATGTGTAAGTGCATCTGTGTCATGCAATGCCTGCAGAGTTCAGAAGAAGGTGTCCTCTGGAACTGGAGTTATGGACAGTTGTTAGCTGCCCGTATGGGTGCTAGGAATCGAATCTGGGTCTTCTGCAAAAGCAGCCAGTGCTCTTAACCGCTAAGCCATCTCTCCAGCCCCTTATTTCCTACTTTATTACAAAACCTAGCTTAGAGATGAAGTAGATTTTCTCATGTCTGTTCCTTGAGTACTCACAATTTAGATCTCAAATCAGTGTCAAAATAAGATGGATTCACTCAAGTATAATATGTTTCTTGGGGCTGGAGAGATGGCTCAGCAGTTAAGAGCACTGACTGCTCTTGCAGAGGTCCTGGTTTTGATTCCCAGCACCCACATGGCAGCTACGAACCATCCTTAGCTCCAGTTCCAGAGGAATCCAAAGCTCTCTTCTGATGTCTGTGGCATTGCATGACACAGGTGCACTCACATACATGCAGGCAATACACTCGTACACATAAAATAAAAATAATAAATATTTTTAAAAAATAGTCTGACAGATAAAATTTAAAAAATAATGTTTCTCGGCCGGGCATGGTGGCGCATGCCTTTAATCCCAGCACTCAGGAGGCAGAGGCAAGTGGATCTCTGTGAGTTCAAGGCCAGCCTGGTCTATATAGTGAGTCCCAGGACAGCTGGGGCTACAGGGAGACCTTGTCTCAAAAAAGACCAAAAAAAAAAAAATAATAATAATAATGTTTCTCTTTAAGCAAAGATAGTACATTTTTATTCTATTTATATTTTGTGAGAGAATAGACAAAGAAGCCAGTGAATGATATAACCAATCAATACTTGAACACTGGTTATAATTTGAAAGTGTATCTGGAGGAGGCTTAAATTTATTTGGTTGGAATCAGGTACCAGGCTTGGAGGTATCAGTGAGGCAGGTGAGTCATCTAAGGGAATTTGGGACGGCACAGCCCTTAAGTTTGTATCTCATGTCATCTGTTTGGTTTCCCTTATGTGAGCCTTAACTAGAGACCTAGTTGAGACCTGGTCCTAATCTGGAGACTTTTTCATGGAAGAAAATCCCAGTATCCAGGCAGTTGAAGCAACACTGCTAAACAGATGGTAATATTCCTTGAAAGAAAAGAAAGGAGGGCCTGGAGAGATGGCTCAGCAGTTAAGAACACTGGTTGTTCTTGCAGAAGACCCGGGTTCAAATCCCAGCACCCACATGGCAGCTAACAACTGTCTGTAACTCCAGTTCCAGGGGATCCAACAGCCTCTTCTGTCCTCCGCGGGCATTGCATGACATGGGTATACTTACCTACAGGCAGGCAATACACGCATACACATAAAATATAAAAATAAATAAAATATTTAAAAATATTAAAAAAAGAAAAGAAAGGAAACATCACCTCACCTTAGACATGGCTTTGATGTTTGTAAAAGATGAATCTCGTTGTTTGAGCGCTTCTCTTGGAAAAGGGAAGAGTCCTATAAAAGCAAAGATGGAGGTAAAGAAAGATGGGAAGAAAAGATGCTCCAATTAGAGCCTTCAGAATAACTTAGAGCTGCATACATTTTCACTGTTTCCACATATGCCCACTCCGAGTACACTTCAGAAATCTAGGACAGCTAGTGTGAAAATGGACAAGCTTTCTCTTCAGCACCAGAAACCTAGTCTCCTGTTGCGGTGGAATGATTCTGGGAACCCTGTTGCATAGCTTGGAAATGGAACATTTTGTTTTGTACATTTTAAATATGCTTCAATTTCCCAAAGGAGCACAGGTTTACTATTTCCAAGCTCCCTTTCGTTGGCTGGCGATGTAGCTCAGTGGCAGGGCACTTGCCTAGGATGAACAAGACTCTGAGTTCTATCCTCATCACTGCCCAAACCACAAATTGTTCTTATAGTCTTTCTGCTGGTTTACACTGTCACCAGCAGTGCATGAGTTTACCTTCCCAAGCCCTGATAAATACAGTTGAGAATATTTTATCTTTGCTGATCAGTTGTAACCTTTAGTTTGTTTTGTTTTTGAGACAGAGTCTCCCTATAGCCCCAATTGGATTGGAACTCACTATGTAGACCAGGCTGGCCTTGATCTCACAGAGATCTCTGCCTGCCTCTACCTCCCAAGTGCTGGGATTAAAGGTGTGCACTACCAGGCCTGGCTCATGACCTTTAGTTTTAAAGGTATGTACTTCTTATTATGAGAATAACCTTCCTTTAATTTTTAAAACATTCCTTTTTTTGGTAATAGCACCTGCTTATAGTATGTTCCAATTTTGCCACGGGTTTTATTTCCTAGTTTGTTGACAATACCTTCTCTTTGTGCTTTGGTTTTTCAAAAAGTTTTAAAAATTTATTTTTATTTTATGTGCATAAGTGTTTTGCCTGCATGTATGTGAGTGCACCAATGTGCGTGCAATGCCAACGGAGGTGAGAAGTGGACATTGGAGCCTCTGGAGCTGGAGTTACGGATGGTTGTTAGCTGCTCTGCAAGAGCAACCAGTGCTCTTAACTGCAGAGCCATCTCTCCTGCCCCCCCCCCGCTCCTCTTTCTGGTTTTTTTGATACATGGTCTCCTTGTACCTTGTAGCTGTAACTGGCCAGGAACTTGCTATGTAGACCAGGCTAGCCTCAATCTCACAGCTATCTGCCTGCCTCTGCCTCCCAAGGGTTAGGACTAAAGGAATACACTGTTATGCCTGACTTCTGTGTGTGTGTGTGTTTCCAGTGCCTGGGACTGAGCCCAGGGCCCCATCTATACTAGGCAAGTGCTCTACCACCGAACTATATACTCAGACCTTGCCTTCTGTTTAAGATGCAAATAATTTTAAGAATTGATTTTCTTAGTTTCCTTGTGTGGTTTATTTTTCCCTGGTAAATTCTTTTAGCAATACCACATATCATATAATCAATGTTTCCTCAATTAATATCAAATGCCATCTTTATCATATATTAATTTCCCCATATGCTGAAAATACCTGGGTTTTCTACTTTCCATTTCGTCTCTACTAATTTACCTGTACCCACTATTTAAGAAGCACAGTTATGTGGCTGGAGAAATGGCTCAGTGGTTAAGAGCACTGGCTGCTCTTGCAGAAGACCTGGGTTCAGTTCCCAGCACCCACAGGGCAGCTAACAACTATTCATTAACTCCAATCCCAGGGGATCCAATGCCCTCTTCTGACCTCTACAGGCATTGTACTACTCATCAGTGCACTCACATACATGCAGGCATAACACTCACATAATATAAAATAAATAAACAAAATATGTTTTTAAAAAGCATAGTTATTGAAATTATTATCAGGGTGTTAGTAGTTAATTTAAGGATTAAGTGTTGCAGAAGACTTTTTAGTAGCATACATATGGAAACAGAAAAGAAACTGTTACTGAATATGTTAAAGCTGTAATGAAATGCTTCTTCTAATCATGTAGTTATTAAAATTAAAAAAAAATTACTTCATGTTAAATAGTAGAGGTGATAAACATTACCAGTGAAATCTACCTGATGACTTTAGATCCATACTCAGGTACTAAGGATCCTACCTGATGACTTTATATCCATGCTCAGATGCCAAGGAGCTCAGAAAGTAACCAACTGTGACTAGTAATAATCATATATATATTGGTTAGAAACGCATGTGCAAACAGCTTAATGTCAATTGCATTAAAAAAGAATTTTTCTGTAATAAAAAAGCATAGTTATTGAAATTATTATCAGGGTGTTAGCAGTTAATTTAAGGATTAAGTGTTGCAGAGGACTTTTTAGTAGCATACATACGGAAACAGAAAAGAAACTGGCCATTCTTGCCAATTCGGGGGCTTCCATATGGAGGGAATAACATTTGGTTAAGTCTGAAGTACTGACTAGAACAGTGAATATTCCAATTAGCAAAATAACTTTTTTTTTTTTTTTTGTCTTTTTGAGACAGGGTCTCCCTGTAGCCCCAGCTGTCCTGGAACTCACTATGTAGACCAGGCTGGCCTTGAACTCATAGAGATCTGCCTGCCTCTGCCTCCCAAATTCTGGGATTAAAGGCATGCACCACCACACCTAGCCAAAATAACTTTTTATTACCAAAAAAAAAAAAAAAAAAAAAAAAAATGAGACTGGTCTTGTAATTAAAAGAGTACTAAATTTTTAAAAATAATTTCCAGTTGAAGAAAAATCCACTTACATAGACATACTGAAAGTGATAATTATGGGTAAAAAGTGTTACTTTTCCTTCGTGGTCCCATGCCACGTTGTTCATTTCGGCACTGTTTTTATTTAGCATGGTGCTTACAGGTAATTAACTTCACCACCCACGAATTAGGAAAATCTTACCCACTCCTTTCCAATATTAATACCACTGCATTATTTACTAATTTACTGTATTATTTACTATTTACTGCATTATTTGCTAAATTGCTACCAAGTTAAAAATTTTGAGGCAGGCTTAATGGCTACTAATCAGACAACCAAACATTACACAACTGCTAGGCTTAGTGATGCATACCTGTAATTCCAGTACTAAGTTCAAGGCTAGTTTGGGCTACATCATGAGCGCCTCCCCGCCCCCCCATTACACAGTCAACTACATGTGGCCGTACAAAGTACCTTAATCACTTCATTAGTAAGGTTATCATCGTCATAAAACCATCAGAAATAACAGTAGGACACACCCACGTGCAGTTATAGTCAATCAAACATCCTTCAGAACACCACCAACCCACAGCTTCACACGTCATTCATAACCACAGAACATCCTACAATCCCAGGTAAAGTCATAATCACGTTCATAAACCACTTTCAATTCCCCTCGCTTTCATAGCGTCACATACAACTCACACCTAATCTAAAAATAGACGGATGCAACAGAAACTCTAAACAAGACACGTCATCCATCTTTCTTACATCCTGAGAATCGCACCCCCCATCCCGCCAACCCCCCCCCAAAAAAACCCCAAAAAACAACAACAACAAAAAAAAACCAACCCAAACACATCAGGTTGCATCCAGAGGGCCAACCCCCAATATTCACCCTACCCCTCACAGGCGACATCTGTGCTGGGCAGTGACCGGCTCCCAGCGACACAGCTTCCCCTGCGTGGAGCGGACACCCCTGCATCAAGTTCCCTGGGGGTCACCGGCGGTCATCCTCAGGGTCACGCCCACGAACCACGCCCGAGGCCCTGCTCCCCAGCTCTAGGTGTCGGGGTCCCGCTCCCCGTCCCCAAATTACCAGGCCCGGTCCGGACTCTCGGTTTCCTCCCCCGCCTCGCCATCTGGTTTGGCTCTGTCCGGCAGCTCCCGGGATCCAGAGCATCCAGGTGGCTGCTCAGCCTCCACAGCAGCCGAGTACCAGGCACCCTCCCCCCCGTCCCCCCCCCCCGCTGCCTCTCAGCCGTCTGCGCTTGCGCAGTCGCGCCGGGGGGGCGGGGGGGGGGCGTGCGCTCTCCCAGGAGCCTCCGGGGCGGCCCGTTAATTGTTACGTGCTTGTCGCCCGCGCTTCAGAAGTTGATCCGGCGTCCGCTCGGCTGCTTTCGGGGTTGGATGCTCCCGTGGACCTCGGCTTCGGGATCACGTTCCTCTCGTGGTTATCTTGTCCTGGGGGGGCGGTGAGATGCGGTCACCCGGGTGGGAGAGGCGCCCCGGAAGTCCCCAGATGGGAAGGGGCGTGCGCGGGCTGCAGCCTCGCGTCCGCTCCTTGGTGGTCGCATGTCCCAGTGTGCGTCTGCAGGGTGCCTGGTTGCGTGTGACAGTGTCGGGCTGTGTGCAGTGTGGGGAGCGTTTGACCGGTTCTGATGGGGTTTGAGGGGATTGAACTGGGGCGGGGCCTCTGGAGTCACCGTAATTCTATGGGGACTATAGACATGCCATGCTGTGACCAAATGATCCTGTGACAGCACTGTAGATGGATCAAAACTGGACTGGCCCAATTGACCCCCATCCCATCTTCATCATTTTGTTTAGTACGGTGGGATTTCATTTGGACGGTTCTGGGCTGAAAATGATGTGACAGAGGAAGAGGCTTCTGCAGTGCTTTCATCTTTGCATTCTGTATCCGTTGTCCTGCCCAAATGCATAACACACGGAAGGAATACAGTGTCGCTTATTCTGGGAGGGACAGTGGGGTGCACGGATGGTCATGGTAAGTTCCATCGTTTCCTGGAATTTGTGCACTGGGATTCCTTTCCCTGCCTCTGTCCTTTCACCTTACAGACACACTGCATGCACAGCGTATAGTGAATCAGCTACTAAAGGGGAAGTTGGATATTTGAGGCCTAGATGAAGGTTCTAACGGACAAGCACAGCCTTGTGTTTGGTATGGAAATCTTAGAGCTGGAATTACCCCCCAAAGTAGAGTCCTGAAAAGGTGGGCTATTGAAGGCCCAAGAATAGGGTTCCAGTGATCCTTTTTGAAAATGGGGGTGGGATGATTTGTATATTGCATATTCATGACATTTTCATTGCTCTGTAGAAAACAGCGGTGAATGTAAAAAACAAAACAAAAAAACAAAAAACAGATTCCAGGGACTGGCACCCTGGCTCAGCAGTTAAGAACACTGACTATTCTTGCAAAGGACCATGGTTCAAATCACAGCACCCACATGGCAGCTACCAACCAGCTGTAACTCCAGTTCCAGAGGATCCAATGCCTTCTGTCTTCCACAGGCACTGCATGACATGGGTGCACCTGAATACATGCAGGCATAACACATTTATACACATAAAAAAATAGATAAAGTTTAAAAGTGGGGGTGCTGGAGAGATAGCTAAGTGGTTAAGAGCACTGACTGTTCTTGCAGAGGACATGGGTTCAGTTCCCAGCACCCACATGGCAGCTAACAACCATCTGTAACTCCAGTTCCAGGGCATGCAAAACCTTATGACCTCTTTGGGCATTGCACAACACAGGTGCACTTACATACATGCAGGGAATACACTCATACACATAAAAATAATAATATTTTTTTGAAAAAGAAAAAACAGTCGGGCATTGTGGTGCATGCCTGTAGTCCCAGCACTTGGGAGGCAGAGGCAGGTGGATCTCTGTGAGTTCAAGACCAGCCTGGTCTACATAGTGAGTTCCAGGACAGCTGGGGCTACAGGGAGACCCTGCTTCAAAAAGACAAAAACACACACACACACACACACACACACACACACACACAACAGATTCCAACCCTAGGCTTTAGTGACCCTTGATTTTCTTTATGATACAAGGAAGAGTCACAGTATTTACATTCCCTCTTATACTTTTGAGTATGTGTAACATGGGTGATGGAGTCTTGCTATCGCTGAACAAAGTGTGCTTACTTTGCTTCTCTGAGCTCCTGGAAAGGCTGGGCATGTCATGAAGCCTTTCCTACTTTCTTTTTTTTTAAATCTTTTTTATTGTATGTATATGACTATTATGTCCGCATGTGTGTAAGCACCCCCATGTTGTGCAGTGCCGGCAGAGGACAGAAGAGGTGTCGGATCCCCTGGAACTGAAGTTACAGATAGTTGTTAGCCTCTGTGTGGGTGCTGGGATTGGAACTCAGGTCCTCTGCAAGAATAGCCAGTGCTCTTAACTGTTGATCCATCTCTCCAACCCCTTCCTTTCCCACTTTCTATGCTTTACTGCATTCCAAAAGAAGAAACTTGAGAGAAGAAAAGCACTGCAGGTGTACATTTTAAAGCCAAGCTAGAAGTCATGCTGAGTTTTCTTGTGTATAAAATACCTTTTTGCTTTTCAGGATGTGGAATCACTTCATCTGAAATGCCCCACCCAAGAGTGACATCATCTATCTGGTTTCTAGGCCTTTCCTTCCTTTTCATGTCACAATTCAAGTTACAGTCCATCACTGGGAAGAATCAAGGCAGGAACCTGGATCCATTGGGCACATCCAGAGTCAAGGGCAAAGAGAAATGAATGCGTGCATGGTTAGTACTCCTCTGGCTCTCTCCACTCTTACACAGTCAGGGCCCCAAGGCAGGGAATAGTGCTGCCCACTTTCAGGCTGGATCTTCCCACAGCAATGAAGGCAGTCAAGACAGTCCCTCACAGATGTGTCTACAGGCAAACCTGATGTAGACAGTCCCTTACTGAGACTCTCTTTCCAGGTGATTCTAGGTTGCGTCATGTTACAATCTAACCATCACACAGGGGGACAAGATTTCCATTACCTTATCAAATGCCCTTCCTAGAATTAATCTGTGCATGTGTTTAAGAGTTCACACGGAGGCTGGATGTGTCCTCAATTGATCTCCCACTTTATTTCTTTTGTTTTTTTTAACCATATATATATGTGCGTGCATTATGTACATGCATGTATGGGTATATGTGTTCTATGGTGTATATATGATGGTTCGAGGACAATGCCTTCCATCTTTCCATGGGTTCCAGGGATCAGGCTTGTACAAAAAGCTTTTTACTCACTGAGTCATCTTAGCTTTTGAGACAGGGTCTCTTACTGAACCTGGAGCTCACTCAATTAGCTAGGCTGACTAGCCAGTGAACTCCAGGGATCTGCCTGTCTGTGCATCTGCCTGTCCCCACTCCCCCAGAACGGGGTTATAGATGTAAACAACAGCATACAGCTTTTATGTGAGTTCTGGGGATCCCAACAAGCACTTTGCTGACTCAGCCGTAGCACTGAGGACTATGACCACATGGCAGTGCATATTGTCTCTAGTCTCTTTTTAATCTAAGCTTTTTCATTACATAGTAGTCCTCTACATGGTGATTTGCTCTAGAGGAGACCAATACTAACGTAGAATTACACAGTAGATACTAAAGATCTTCAGAGGCTTGAGGAAAAAACAGCAAAATTAGAGGTGGTTGGATTTGTTTTAGTAAGTAAATAAAAGCTTTGTTTTGGAGAACTTTAAGATGAATAATATTGGGGCTGGAGAGGTGACTGACTCAGTGGTTAAGAGCACTGGCTGTTCTTGCAGAGAACTGGGGTTCATTTCCCAGCACCCACATGGTACTAACAGCCGGTCATCTGTAACTCTATTTCCAGGGGATCTGACACCCTCTTCTGACCTCCTCGGGCATGGGTGCACTTACATACATGCAGGCAATACACTCATACACATAAAACTAATAACAAATACATATATTTTAAAATATTTATTATTTTTATTTTATGTGTATGTGTGTAATGAACCCAGTTCTTCTGTAAGAACAGTCTGTGTTCTTAACTGCCGAGCCATCTCTCCAGCCCCATAACAAATATTTTTTTAAAAGATTTTATCAAGCGTAAGAATATTTTGGGGATTATGTATGTGTGAGAGATCGATCAGGAAGGACAGAAGCACCAGGAAGATGGCACATAGTCCCTTTCAGGTTTGGGCAGTATACTCAACATCTTTCTGTTCTGTGCTTTATTTTTTGTTAAGTGTGAATAATACTACCAATTTCAAAGTGCTTGTGTGTGTTTGTGTGTGTGTGTATGTTTAGAAAGTCTTTCTATGTAGTCTAGGCTGGCCTTGAACCCACAGCAATCTTCCTGCTTCAGCCTCCTGCGTGTTGAGACCATATAAACATTTTGCGCCATATCAGACTTCTAAAGGTTTTTTAAAATTTTTTGTTTATTATTATTATTTTTTTGTCTTTTTTGAGACAGGGTTTCCCTGTAGCTCCAGCTGTCCTGGAACTCACTATGTAGACCAGGCTGGCCTTGAACTCACAGAGATCCACCTGCCTCTGCCTCCCAAGCGCTGGGATTAAAGGCATGCACTACCACACCCGGCTATTTATTATTTTTTATGTTTATTTATTTTTTGTGTATGAATGGGTACTGTGTAGTGCCCACGGAGGTCAGAAGAGAGCATTGGATTCCCCTGGAACTGGAGTTATAGAAGGTTGTTAGCCACCATGTGGGTGCTGGAAATTGAACCCAGGTCCTCTGCAAGAGCAACCAGTGCTCTTAACCATAGGGCCATCTCTCCAACCCCAGCTTTTTTTTTTTTTTTTAGTGATAATCAGTTATTAACAGTACTAGAACAAGCCAGGCATGGTGGTACACACCTTTAATCCCAGCACTCTGGAGGCAGAGGTAGGTGGATCTCTGTGAGTTCAAGGCCAGCCTGGTCTACATAGTAAGTTCCAGGCCAGCTGGGGCTACAGGGAGACCCTGCTTCAAAAAGACCAAAACAAAAAGGAAAGAAAGAAAGAAAAACACAATACAGTGGCAAACATAAGTACTTACTATGCTGATACTCTTAGATCATTGACCATGCATAGATCAGTGCAATAAAAATAAAAAGTTATTTGTCATGTGCTCCTATAAGTAAGAAAATGAGCCTTACATACTGGTGGTGCAAAACATCAGTCCTTCACCTGAAATAATATAATTGCCTTGAAATTGTGTGCAAAAATTTTTGTATATTTAACTAATGCATTTTTTTCTGGAGATAGTCAATAACGTAAAGAGATTGTCAAGGGCTGGAGAGATTTCTCAATGGTTAAGAGCACTGGGTGCTCTTGCAGAGGACCTGGGTTCAATTCCCATCACCCACATGGCAGCCAACAACTGTCCATAACCCCAGTTCCAGAAGCTTTTTCTGTGGGCATTGTATGACATGTGTACACTTACTCACATGCAGGTAATACACTCATACACATAAGATAAAAAGTAATAAAAGTATTTTTTTAAAAAGAGATTGTCAGCCAGGCGTGGTGGCGCACGCCTTTAATCCCAGCACTCAGGAAAGAGAGGCAAGTGGATCTCCAAGTTCAAGGGTAGCCTGGTCTACATAGCAAGTTGCAGAGCAGCCACGGCTACAGAGTGAGATCCTGTTTTGTTTACATTTTGTGTGTGTGTGTGTGTGTGTGTGTGTGTGTGTGTGTGTGTAGATGGGTGCATGCATATGGAGGTCAGAGGTCAAATTTTGGGAGTTGGTTCTCCTCTACCATGTCAGTTCTGGGGATTGGACTGAGGTCATCAGGCTGGGTGGCAAGCACCTTTATTTGCTAAACTATCTCCATGCCCCCATCACCTCCAGTGACTTTTTAACCTGCATGTCTTGCTGGGTAAATTTGCCACAAATGTAATTTCTCAAGGCTTAATATGAATTAAGGTTATCATTATTTTAAATGAACATAGAGAGATGGATATGGTGGCTCATTCCTGTAATCCTATCACTCAAGAGGCAGAAGAATTGCTATTTCAGAGTCAGTCTAGGATACATAAGAAGTTCTAGGCCAGCCTGGGCTGCAGAATGAGACTGTCTCAAAAAAAATTAGCATGCAATCACTGGATATGGTGGTGCATGCTGAATATAGCACAGCAGTATAGTGCATGCCTAGCATGTTAATATCCTAGGGTCAAGTCTAGTACATAATTAAAGGAAACCAACATACATACTAATAATAGTGGCACATCATTTCTTTAAGCTATTTACTATGCTTAGATATTTATGTGTTAAATTTGGTATTTGAAGGATTACCAGCATTAAAAGGAGATGCTGATTATTAAGGCAAAGAAGACCAGACATATGGTAATAAATGGCAGAGGGTCACAGAGATGTCAGAATGTCAGGAATTCATAGTGAAGAGACATTCTGATCACAGCAAGCATTCTCAGGTTACAACTGAACTATAAGAAAGATTTCAGGCCATGTGTGGTGGTGCATGCCTTTAATCCCAGCACTCTGGAGGCAGAGGCAGGTGGATCTCTGTGAGTTCAAGGCCAGCCTGGTCTACATAGTGAGTTCCAGGCCAGCTGGGACTACAGGAAGACCCTGTCTCAAAAAAAAAAAAAAAAAAAGATTTCAGAGCCCTTGTAAATTCTGAGCTTTATATCTTAGAGTTTTCAGTTTAGCAATATTACATGTAAAGTGAAAATAATAGACCCAGAAGATGAAATAGCTCGCCAGCTGTGGTAGCACACACACCTTTAATCCCAGCACTTGTAAGCAGAGGCAGGCGGATCTCTGAGTTCAAGGCTAGCCTTGTCTACATAGCAAGTTTCAGGACAGCTGGGGTTACAGGGAGACCCTGTCTCATGCTGCCCACTCCCCAAAAGATTAAATTTTTGGGAGACCATCAGAACTAAAAGGAATGGATTAGAAACATAAAACTACCGGTACCTATGAGAAATCTCTTGGAGTTGTGGGTTTTTTATTTTTGGCAGCACTGGGAATCAACCCAGGACCTTGTGCATGCTAGGCAAGCACTCTACTATTGAGCTACGGCCCCAAACTTTCTCAGGGAATCGAACCATTATTTTCTTCTTTTTCTTTTCTTCCTTTGTGTTTTTTTTTTAAATATTTTGTTTTTTTATTTTATGTGTATGAGTGTATTGCCTGCATGTATGTGAGTGCACCTGTGTCAGATTCTCCTGGAACTAGAGTTAAGGACGGTTTGTAACCGCCATGTGGGTGCTGGGAATTGAACCCAGGTCCTCTGCAAGAGCAGTCAGTGCTCTCAACTGCTGAGCCATCTCTCCAGCCCCCCTTTATATTTTATGTAACCCTAGGCTATCCTTGAATCCTTGATCCTGCCTCAGCCTTCTGAGCACTGGGTTTACAGGAGTATAACACCGTGCCTGGCTTTTAACCATCCCACCTCCCACACTGTGTTACTTAAGAGCATTCAAAGTGTCAGCAAAACAGCTGCATTTTTTCAATTACAGAGTAGCATTCAGTTAATAGAACAATTATTTCAGTAGAAGATGAAGAAACTATCACCCCCTATATAATTTGTGGTCCACCAACAAGTTTTAAGTTTCCATTCCAGTTTTCAGCCCCCACACTGTTCCAGACATGGGTAATAGTTATTGAAAATACCACTAGATCATGGCTTTCAAAAGATAGATTTGGGGGGCTGGAGAGATGGCTCAGTGGTTAAAAGCACTTACTGGTCTTGCAGAGGTCCGGGGTTTGATTCCCAGCACCCACATGGCGGCTACTTACCATCCTTAACTCCAGTTCCAGGGGAATCTGAAGCCCTCTTCTGACCTCCACAGCATTGCACGACATGGGTGCGCTCACATACATGCAGGCAATACACTCATACAAATAAAATAAAAATAATAAAATATTTTTTTAAAAAAGACACATTTGGGACTGGTGAGATCACTCAGTGGGTAAATTGCTTGCTGTGAAAGCATGAGGACCTGAGTTTTCCCCAGCACCTGTGTAAAAGGAAAACATGGTTATGTGCGCCTGTAACCTTAGCATTGGCAAGGCAGAGCCAGGAGGATCCCCAGGACTTGCAGGCCAGCTAGTCTAGCTAAAACAGCAAGCTCCGGTTCACTGAGACAGCCTGTCTCAAAAAAAAATTAGGTGGCTGGGTGTGGTGGTACACACTCAATCCCAGCACTCAAGAGACAGGTGTGCAGATCTCTGTGAGTTCAAGGCCAGCTGGGGCTACAAGGAGACCCTGTCTCAAAAAAAAAAAAAAAACCCAACAAATAAATAATACAGAAGAAAGTAACTGAGAATAACACCTGATATTGACCTCTGGCCTTCCCACATGCACGCATGCATGCAAGGGTACTTGCACCTGCATACAGACACACGCACGCACGCACACACACACACACACACACAAATATAGACATGTTTGATCATGTATTAACTATACCAAAAAAGACATTGCATTTTAACAACAAATCTTACACACAATCTTACATTTCCTTTTTTTTTTCTTTGAAAGGAATGAGTTGTGGACATGGGTATGTGTGTGGTGTGAATATATTTATGCATGGTGTGTGTGGTACATGCACATGACACTCTCTTCTGGCCTCTGTGGATATTGCACACACATGATGCATTTACATACATGCAGGCAAAACACTCATACACAAAATAAAAATAATTTTTTAAAAAATTAAATAAAGGTAGCTGGGCATGGTGGCACATGACTTTAATTCTAGCACTTGGGAGGCATAAGCAGGTAGATCTCTGACTTCACGGCCAACCTGGTCTACATAGCAAGTTCCAGGCTGGCT